AAAACAATTATTTGTGAAGACTGGACAAGGGGTTTGGGTTTGGGGTAGCAAATTAATAAATAACAAGGTTTGTTAATATAGCCTTCTTGGCCCTGCATTCCCCACCTCTGGCAATAAGGATGCCTTCTACCCCTCTAGGTGCAAAGAACCTACTTTTCACATGGGGAATTTATATCGTGTTTTCAGCGGGGCAAAGGAGGGTCCGAGTGTCCTTCTTGCAGTGACGGTTTCTTAAGTAATTTTATTTTATTTTTTTAAAGATTTTATTTATTTATTTGAGAGAGACAGATAGTGACAGAGCTAGCGAGAGAGAGCACAAGCCAGGAGGAGAGGGAGAAGGAGGCTCCCACCGAGCAGGGAGCCCGAAGACGTGGGGCTTGATCCCAGGACCCTGGGATCACGACCTGAGCCGAAGGCAGACGCCTAACCAACTGAGCTACCCAGGCGCCCCTCTTAAGTAATTTTAATTGAAAATAATTAATATGCAATAGTGGCATATTTTGGGGTGGCCCGCCTTGACCCCCATCAGGAGAGAAAGAGAGAGAAAATATGTATTGGGTTATAATTTACATATGGTAAAATCCACCCCTGTGAACGTACAGTTCTAGAGTTTTGACTAATGCAAACAGTTGTAAACCACCACATCATCCAGATATAATCCATATATAGAACATTTCCATCACCCTAAAAATTCCCTCAGGCACCTTTGTAGTCAACCCTCCCTCTACCTCCAGCCTCTTGTGGCAACCACTGATGTATTTTCTGTCCCTGTAGTTTTGCCTTTTCCCTAGTGTCATATAAATGGATCGTACAAGACCTTCTTTAACATTCTTATTGAGAGCATCATGTGTCCTGCCCAACTCTCTGTTCGCATATCATATTTTGCCTTATTTTTTTTTCAGAACAGTTAACATTATCTGAAGATAAACTGTTGTCATTATTTGATTATTGTCACTGGAATGTGGGTGTGAAGACTACTTCATTTGCTACTTCATCTCCAGGGCTCGGAAGGCTGCCTGACGTTGTGTAGGCGTTCAGTAAATATTTGTAGAATGAACAGGAAAATGAATGAGTACGTTGGAACTTCCCAAATCCGTCTCCAGACTCAGGCCAACTTCGTTACTAAGAGATTATCTCCTCCCACAAAATGTGTTAATCCAGGCATTGCCGTGTTGCCAGAGTAGTTTGTCTGCAAGCAACACAATTAGAAGTCATTTGGCTGACCCAGATCATGAATTGTTTTTTAAATTCACTTTCTGGATGATTAGATTACCTGGAATTCAACTCGTCTGAAGTGAGTACAATGGAAATCATGACAGTAACGATTTCACAGAGTGGTCGGGAGGATGAAATGACTTCATGTAAGTGAAGTGTGAGGCGCGATGGTTCTCAAGTGGAAGCTATTTTGCCCCCTGCAGAAACAGCTGGTAATGTTGGCGATATTTTGTTGTTGTCAAAACTGGGCTAGGGAGTCTCTACTGGCATCTGCTGCAAAACATCCTACAAAGAACAGGACGGCCCCCTACAAACAGAATTATCCAGCCCCAAATGTCAGTAGTGCTCCCCGTGAGAAATCCTGGGTTAGAGCCGTGTCTGACAGAGTAGGGGCTATATTTGTGTTTGTTATTATCCTTACTGTTTTATAAGTGCCCCTTCTTGACAAATGTTCTCACACAGTCTGAGGGTGGGGGGATAGCACAGTGGTTGAAAGCATTAAGTCTGCAGTGAGACTCTCTGGGTTTGAAGCCGGAACTTTTACTTTGTGTTAACAATGTGATTTTGAGCACTTTCCTGACTTTTCAATACCTAATAGTCTTTGCTTGTAAAATCAGAATAACACAGTGGTAACTCCCTCGGAGATTTGACGGGGGATTGAATAAAAGAATCCATATAAAACATTCAATACTGTGCATGAGCCCACAATAAATGTCCAATAAACATCATTGGTCATTGCTATTGTTTTTGTTGACCCCCAAAGATCTCTCTATACAATATAGTGAAGGGATTAAGGATAGTTTCAATGAGAAAAGAAATGGAGAATGTATTGCTCACATAAAGTATATACAAGTGTATATTTCACATAATAATAGACGACTACATAGAACTTAATTCAAACCATCCTTTTTAAGGCTGTTATTTATTATTTTTTAAAAGTATGTTGCTCTTGCTTCCTTGGGTAGAGCAGCTCCTGGAAATAAAGAATTCTGTATTTTAAAAATTTGTGTCTAGGGGCGTCCTGGTGGCGCAGTTGGTTAAGTGTCTGAGTCTTGGTTTCAGCTCAGGTTGTGATCTCAGGATCGTGAGATTGAGTTCCTCCCTCACCTGCTCTCTCTCTCTCTCTCTCCCCCTTTTTTTTTTTAGATTTTATTTATTTGACAGAGAGAGACACAGCGAGAAAGGGAACACAAGCAGGGGGAGTGGGAGAGGGAGAAGCACGACGACGTGGGGCTCGATCCCAGAACCCTGGGATCATGACCTGAGCCGAAGGCAGATGCTTAACGACTGAGCCACACAGGCGCCCTCTCTCTCTCTCTCAAATAAATAAATCTTTAAAAAATTGTATCTAGCACACAATGAACAATTATTAATTAGGGCTTAGAGACATGAACAGGCAATTCATAAGAATTTCAAATTGCCAGCAAATATTTAAAATGCTTAGACTTACTAGCACTCAAAGAAGTGAATATTAATACAAGTGTTTTTCCTTCCTTTTCAAATTGACAAAAGTTAAGAGAATAAAATGGCCAATGGTAAAGTTTGGTAACATGGGCACTCTCGAGAATACACTCTTGGTTGAGTATATATTGACTCACTTTTTTGGGAGATAGTTGTCTATATGAATTAAGAACTTCAAAAGTCTTTACACTGTTTGTCTTAGTAATTCCACTCAATAATCAGACTCACACAAAGATTTATATATATGAATATTCACATTGTAGTGCTATATAAACAAATATTTTTAAATGACGTAATTGGAGTACCATTAAATGAATTACCTAAGGACCATTAAAAATCTAATGAAGTCTTTAGAAATAAGTTATTCTGCAGAGTTTTCATGTTTGGTTGATTGAAAGGTGATGGTACAATTAAAAGAAGAATGAAAGGAAGGAGAACACTGATGTAAGGGGGGGATATTCCTGAAATATCTCAGGGCATATAATATTTCTCATAATTTGCTAAATCAGAGATGACACACTGGTGTCCAGCAAGTGGATTATAGACCAGGTGTGAGATACCGACTCCCCCATATCCTCAGAGCAGTGAGGCAGTGGCCTGGGATTTAAGAACCCTGGTTGGTCTCTTGACATCCACCATTTGTACAGCTCCAGAGAAGCCGGCTGCAGAGAACATGGGTCAGCACATTATGGACAAACAGCCCATAGAGTTTACTAGGGAAGTTGGTCTTCCAGGTGCTCAAGAATAAAACAACCAGTCTGAGGCCATATTAGGGAGAGGGGTGGGGAAGGAAGAAGGAGATCTCCAAGAATACTACCACAAAGAATACTCACAAATCAATAAAATTTGATATGGACGAGAGAGTTAATCCATCAACCAAAGAATTGTTAAAAAAAAAAAAAAGCATAGATACTAACAAAACTAATTTCAGTAAAATCAAATTAAAATGGAAAAATAAAGAAGTGGTTTAGCTGCCCTTTTAAAGAAAATTGATCAAGGAATTAAACTACCGGAATGGTGTAACATCAAGTTAATATTTTCTTGATCAATTTATTCCCCATTAGTAAAATTATGGTTGGAATATTTGTATTCATACATAAAAATTAGGGAGTCAAAACAGGGTCACACGGGGAGTAGAAAGTCCACTGTCACTTAGTGACACCTGTAAGAGGGGAAAGAATTCAAAGACAGGGTCTCTTACCCCTTTCCACCAGAATCTTTACTGAAGACGCTGCTGGACATATAACCTAACATGTCTCAGTCAAATACGCTGTGCAGGCGGTGACTCTCATCAATTCCTCTCTTCCTTAGAATGATTTTTGATGTTGTTCATAAAATAAGTCTAATGTTCGAAGTTCTAGTCCCATTATGACTCTTCTCAGATTCAGTTTCTAAGGTCTCTTAACCCACAATTCCCATCTGTCCATCAAATCCCCACACCTAATCAGAAGACGAGACAGTTAATTTGCACTCACAACATATTCACAGCACGACCTTTGTTCCCTGCCTCCTACTCCCCACTCACCCCTTGTTCCATACAGCCCAGGGTTGGGTGGGATGAATGGAAACAGATGCGGTGATGGAGGTACCATAGGGAATGAGCAGGCAGAAAATGATTGGAGACATTCCCTACCATTTTTTTTTTTTAAAACCAGAAAACAAGAACAATGGAATAAAAGTATTTGTTTGCACATATTCTTTCTTCACCATGAACTTCCCCTACTCTTCATTTATATTCTAAGACAAAGTCTTTTACTTCACTGGAATTATCATAATGAAAGATCTTTTTTTTTGAAATGGGAACGGACAGTGTGGATTCGGTAACAATTATCACACTGTTTATAGGCATAAGGATAATGAGTCCCATTCCACTGCTTTATACAAGGTAGTAAAGAGAATTGAAATTTTGGTTTATCCTTACATTTGTACCGTTTACTGTCTTATAGACACACTCTTTTCTGAACACCAGAATCCAGTTCAGCCTGGCATTTAAAAGGGGCCAACAATCATTTAACAAGTAAATGAGTAACTGGACACCACTGACCTTCATCTTGTCGTTTTTGGTGTATATACTGTGGGTTTATATTTACTCCTACAGATTGGTAAACGTGGGAAAATAGCTTCAAATTGAGATGAGGACAAGACCCCTTTGCTTCTTGAGATCATTTTTTTTTTTTAAACTTTCTTGTTTAGAAGATAGTTTGGAAGTGTCTTACTTCTTAGACGGTAGTTTTCATAATGTAAAGTGAATCAAAATGAAGACGTCTCTGTTCAAGGCTTCTTTTTTTTTTTTTTTAAGTCTTACCCAAAAGGAAGTGAATATGAAGTAAATTGCATAAACTTAAAGTACTGCAGAGATGAAGACCGAAGCAGGAAGAAACATGCCACCAATGTCCTGGTCGGGAACATACTGTGTCATGTGAAGAGACATGACAAAAACAGCCCTCTTTAAATTACTGTTGGCAATACTGATCACATTCATTTTACTTTTGCCTGAATATTTTAAGACACCAAAAGGTGAGTATATCATTATCATTTATCTTTTCTTTTTTCTACTTTTTAAAAATCATGATAGCTAACAGTTACAGGAAAGGTCTTTTTGGATACACGCTGCATGGGCTGAAAGAGGTCTGTGTCTAAAAAGTTAAGAAAATAAGACTGTAATTTTAATTGACTTTTACAGAGCACAGTAACCTTATTCCCAGTACTTCATTATTGTGGCACACAATCGTGAGATGAAAAATGAAGAGACATATTTAAAATCTGTAGTCTAGATTTTAAACATCGAAGTTTGCATTAATCTTATCACAAGATTTTGCTCTCTGAAGTAGTTTCCTTCAAAAACAGTTTTAAGTATGCTTTTAGATTCTGGAAGCATTTTATAAAGCAAGTAATATTTATTATGTTAAAAATGCTTGATTTCCCTCCATCCTAGCCATTTGACACAGATAACTCACTGCTGCCTTTTGAAAAATAAGAGTATTCAAAATATAATTAAAATAAGATGGGTGCAAATTCCAGCAGGTGTGTGTGTGTGTATGTAGATTTGTAACTAGAGTAAAATGGAACAAAATGAACTCTGTGGATAATTCAGGGACTTGTGATATGATTGTTGAAACCTAGGATAAGAAAATAAATAAATGTAAATTTAAACTGTTTTTACATGTCAGTAAAAGATTTGAAAATATATTAATGTGACTGTTCAGATGATAAATGTGCTCCCCAGCATTTAATAAGAAGAAAGGGTAAAAAGAAAATGCTGTATTCTGTCATTAAAGTTATATGAATTTGCTTAAAATCAGCAAAAAGCTTATATTTGATGACTTGCTGCAATGATTATTGTTGCATATACATGACGCTAAGTGGCCAGATAAAAATATTTTGCTGAATAAACACTATGTGCAATTTTGTGAATGACTGAATTTTTCACATTTTTCTTGGTTTTCTAGCATTATGTTGCTTAGGTTAAAAACCATAACATATATTTTTTAATTCTTGATTCCACATAGTGAAAAATATAAAGAGAATAGTAAGAATTGAAATGGAGGTAACATATTTCGATTTTTAAGCTTTTTGTGGTGGAGAGTAAGCTCATTTAATAGTTATCTAAGGTAGGCCATAACGATGGACCTTGCACCTCCAAAAAATTAGGTTCATCTAATGAAAACCAGGTAATCAGCCTAAAAAAGATTTCATAAACTGCTAACTATTGGTTAGCGTTTTATGAGAACTAGTAATTGCCAGAGCATGTTAAAAGTTTTTCTTTTTTGAGCAGATGCCTTGACAGTAATCAACCATCAATGATTTCCATTTTCTTACTTTCATAACTGATTACATCAGCCCTCAATACTCCCTATATTGCCTCCCCAAACTGAAAATAGCCATTTGTCTTTTCCTGGTCCAAGAACAGCATAGATATTTCCTTGGACTCTTTGTGGGGGATGAATTTATTTGGGAATTTTGTTTCAAAGAAACCCTCCTTGGGGCCAACAAACAAAGATGTTTGAAAACCATCATCTTAATCCTGATGTCATTTTGTGGTAGAAGGACTTTTGCACAGAGTCACCATTAATGAAAGGTTGATTATTGGGCAAAATATTTTACACATGCAATAGTGCAATAATAATGCTTTATATTTTATAATGGCTTATGGATCACCAGGAACAAGTTCATATAGCCTCACTTTATATAGTCTAATATAGATTCAACTAAGGGCACATAATTGTTTCACTTTTTTCAGTAATTTTTTAAATCACAATAATAGTTGCCTCATGAAATGTGTTGACTTGTCAACTAGAGCATTTCATAAAATAAAATACCTGGTAAATTAGATGATGAGCTAAGAGTGTTCAAGAAGTGCTAAAATTAACCTTGAGACTTTCCTGTATATCTTACTCTCCTTATCAGTTACTCGTGGTTTTTCATTTTTTCTTATATTCTATTCACTTTTATTTCTAAGATAAATATTATAAAATGATTTTTACTTATAAATTACTCACTGATACCATGTTGTTAGACATCACATGAATTCAGAAGGAATCTTAATGAGGAATAATGTATTCACGAAGTTTAATAGATTTGATTTCAAAATAATAAACCCTCTGAAGGCCTAAGTTAAAAATAGAGAACTGTGTTTGATCCTTTTTCATCAAGAATGTATCTGAGTCTCTGAATAATCATTACTCAGAATATTCAATTATCATAATTACACAGTATAAGCTATCTAGTCTAACTTCACTGAAGAAGAGGAACTTCTTCAATGGTGTTTTGGACTTTTAAGGAGTTTGCACTGAGCATATGCTCTGGCAAGAGCAACTCTTTTAATACTTTCAGTGTATTTGAAAGGCAGCTTATCCTGAGATCCAATAGTTAATATAATGATGTGATAGACTTCTCTTGCACATAGATAATGGAGATAGGAAAGGGAACGGATATATTTTGATTCAGAGCTGCTTGCAATTAAGGGAGCCTGGGTTGCCCCCAAACAAGAGACTTCACCAACCTTTTCTTGGACTTGGCAGTGTTTAAGAGAGAGCTGGTTAACTCAAATAAATCTCAGTGATCTTTTATTTACTTATTTATACTTATGAATAGCGCCTCCCTGTTCTCACTTTGGCACCTGTACTGAAATTGGAATGAATAGGATCTACCTGCACCAGGAACCTGGGGCTACAAAAACGAAAGGCAATTCTTCCTTCCAGGAGTCTTCAGTCAGGGGGATGCCTGACTGGCAAATAATTAAAGATAGTACTGTAATTACTAAAATAGCAATGTAAAAAGGTGTGATGGAACCTAAAAGTTGCTTCCAGGCCTGTCTGGGGAGGATGTTCCTTCCATTTTTGTTGCAAAGAGAAATCGCTGTCTGTCAGAGTTCTAATGATCAGCTAATATTTCTCCTTACCTACCTGCAGAGGCACTTTCTAAGAGAAGCAATTATTATTGATTTTCAGATAAAATGTACTCATCTAAATACCTCAGAAATTCTTGAAACCAGAAACCGTACTGAGTTATACAAGTGTCTTACTGATCATTCGTGGTAATGCGAGACAGGAATAGCAGACGTGAAAACACCTGACACCTAATTTTATCTAGCTGTTCCACTTCCTCACTTACATTTAAGAACCAAACTGACATAAACCGTGTTTACCAGCTTTCATTTCCCCCTTGCATTTCACACTTTCTGTTGGAAAGGGTAGTATAACGGGCAGTGAACTTTAAGAAAACAATGGATAAAGCAACTTGACTTACGAACTAGAGGATAAACCCTGAAGTGTATGAGCCTATGTACACCTTACTTCTGTCTGTATGATAAAGAACGGTGTTAGCAAGGGTCACTGCAACTGATTTGCCTGAGAGTGTTATCTTTGTTCTTAAAAATGGGCACCTTATTTCCCTCTTATTGCCTGGCTCGTTGATAGAAAGTTAATCAGCGATGTCTACCTCCTCCGGGGCGGCCCTGGGACGCCCCTGTCCCCGGACCAATTGCTTCCGAAAAGCGATTCGGAGGAGCTGGAGGAGGAAGAGGAGACGAGGAGCTAGAGGAGACCCTGCCGGAGAGACTGTGGGCGCTGCCGGAGATGTTCCCACAGAGGGTCCGCTCCACGGCTGGAGCCACTTTTGATCTCTCCCTCTTTGTGGCTCCAAAAATGTACAGGTTTTCCAGGGCAGCCTTGTACGGATTGGGACCACTTCCTTCATGACCCTGGTTCTTCCTGTTCTCTTCGAGACTGAGAAGCTGCCCCTGGAGCCGCAGCGGCAGAAGCTTCTAGGGCCTCACCCAGGGCGCTCAGGAGGAATGCTCAGGAAGCGCGCTGCCTTCACTTCCTGGAAAGATCTAGATCGCCACTGCTCTATGACTGGTCTTGGTGGGACAAGTTTGAAAATTCAATAGTGTTTGAACTGCTGATTACTGGGATTCTTTTTTTTTTTTTTTAATTTTGGCGGAGAATTCTCCCCAATGTCTCACAGAGACTCCCAACTTCCAACTGTGCCCTCCGCGCTGTCCCATTTCTTCTGTCCTTGCTCTGATACCAGAGTGCCGCAATGCGGACGGTTAGGCCAGCCCTGGCCATCCCACCCCTTTCCCTAAATCGCTCATGACCAGCAGATCTCAATCCCATTGTGGCACAGGAACTGATGCCACTGGGAAGGATGCACCACTGACCATTTTTGTTTTTAAGCATGGAGATGTTGCACACAATATGAAATCCGTAGTGCATTACAGCCGTAGCGTTAAGCAGACGCTGTGAATTGCTATGTTGGAAAGGAGGGAGGGCCGGGCAGCAGTTTCATCCATAGTTTGGGGACTGCGAAGGACAGAGCAGGAGCTCATTTCCTCTGCGCATTTTTGGCTATGAGAGACCTGTGTGTCTGTCTAAAAAAGGAAAAAAGTAAGCGCTCACTTTTTTGTATTTAAATATTAAAAACAATTCCAATGGAAAAAAGAAAGAAAAAAAAAAGAAAGTTGATCAGTAATCCCCAATAAGGCCTGGGAAAGAGACTAATGGGTATTAAAGGTTTTTTTTAAAGATTTATTTATTTATTTATTTGAGAGAGGCGAGAGAGCAAGCACGAGTGGAGGGAGGAACAGAGAGAGAGAATTTTAAGCAGACTCCCTGCCTAGTATGGAGCCCGCCGTGGGGCTCGCTTTCATGACCCTGAGATCATGACCTGAGCCAAAATCAAGAGTTGGGTGCTTAACCGACTGAGCCACCCAGGTGCCCCTAAAATTTCTTTAAAACGTAATAAATACTTACACATGTACCAGGTACTATACCAACTACTTTTACATATAACTCATTTTGATGCATTCAATATTTCAACTCCTTCATGGGGAAACATCAGTCTCAAGAGAGACTTTTCCAAAAATATTCGGAGAGAAGGAATAAAACTAGATGGGTACATTTACTTTGTTGTAACATTTTATTTCTTATGGAATTTTCTGAATCTTTGTAGATGAGAATGACTACTTATCGACACAATATGTTTACATGTATATTTCATATCCTAGGTGTTGG